GGGGGGGGGGGGGTGGTTAGTTCTAGACCAAGACCAAATAAATCTTACTTCACATCTAAACCTGCGTAATACATATCGGGGTGTAGGGTATGGATTATTCCGAACTGTAAAGTGCTGTGTTACAAGCCTGCAGCTACTTGTAAGAGTAAACCGGAAAGCCATTCTTGAAAAGTTTACAGTTTTATATTCTAACAAGACATGAAGTTAACCGCTGCTGTGTCACGCATTTCACGATTATTCTCTTTCCAAGGTACCAAGGGTCACTAATTAGGCTATTTCAAATTCTTTTGTGTGAGCTTCAACTAAATTTTGCTAATCAGTTGGTACCTGGAAACATACGGCTTTGAATTGGCGATCTACGGCCGCAGACGTTCGTTCGGCACGTCTCAACTGAGGCAATACCCAATACAAAGAAACAGCTGTCCTTTCAAGACTTACTTGTATGTAAATCCCATAATAATGCGTTGCAAATCTTTATCGTGCACAGTTTCACACTATAGTTAAATCGTCATTTCTTTTCAATCCGATGAGTATGAAGACCCATTTCTGTTTATTAGTATTTTTGGATCGAGCAATAGGATAGTCTGAGAAATTGGAGTGTAGAAAGCACTTGTAGTTATCATGATATTCAGAACAATACTATCAGTACTTTTGCTCTAAAAAAAGGCTGCAGCCATAAGCATAAAACATGCAGAGCCTTCCTATTTTTTTCGCCCTATGCTACAGTCTTTACATGTACACGTTTGGTTCCTGGAGGCCGAGAAAAGATTTTCTCAAAGCTAAAGCCACTACATCAGTGAAACATTCGACTCAATTCATGCCAAAATATTTTCGTGATGTTACCAATTATTGTTTATCTGATTTATCCTCATCGAACAATCTCTGCCAGTGAATTGCTTTCCTTTTTGAAGTTGGAAATCGTGTCATGAAAACACCTTATACAATATGGCTTCCATTCGGCTCACCTATGGAGGATAATGACGGGAATCCTGTTTTCTGATTGGCGACGTAAACGGGCAGTATGGGTATGTCAGGTCATATCATGCCCTCTCGGGATTGCCTGCTTTCGTTTAATTCTGCACGAAAAAAGTTCTTGCAACTGCCTTGTATTATAAGGTTTTTTCTTTCTTTTTCTCCAAGAAAAAAGGGCTGTCCAAAGGATAGTACTGCAATACAGTCAAAGAAATTGGCAGCTGTAAATCTTGAAGTCAGCCCAAAAAATTAACACCACAACGAAGTCTGTTCAGTCACTATGGTAGGATACTGCCCTTCTCATTTTTTCTATTGATATGGACAGAAAAAAAAATGAAGCATCCAATATTCAACAATCTTTATCTTGAATTAACGCTTGATAGACTACGCACATAGAGTGTTTCCATTCTCAGTTGTGGTAGTGGTTATCGACCGTCAAGACTTATGCTCGTTTATACAAACAGCTTGTGCCAAGGCTAATCGAGAGATAGCCAGAAGTTCTAAAAAATTCGATTCGAAATGAAAATTATTGGTAATTTGATGATCTTTGTCCTTGTGGGTTTGATTTTTATTCAGGGTTTTTCGTTTGGTAAGTTAACTTTTTTTAAGTTTTTATCAAGGGCTAAAATGACATGCGTAATCAGGAAAGCCTAACGGAACCAATCCTCAAAACTGCCTTTCGAAGCTTAAATCATGATCAGCTGGCATGCAATTCTCAGGTTACGACAGTACCCTGGCTACTTTTGATTACAATTGCCCTTTCAAAATGAGCAACTGTTCGCATAAAAATTACTGCAGTGAATTTAGATTAAGTTGTTTTAGCGGAACCGATTTTTTTGCGCAAGAGATTTTCCCGTCTAAATTTCTCTGTTGAGAATTTTCTCTTTCATGCCTCATTCCTTTTGCGCCTCCCAAACGATCAAGTTAAGAAAGTGCAACTGTCTTCTTTTGTGGAAACATAGGTGTAGCCCCATTTACGAGCTTTCGAACCTTCAACTTATCGACATCGACATAGGTTAAAGATCGAATGATCTTGTTGTGATTGTTTTTAAAGGTACCTCAACTGAAGACTTGCAAATGAAAGTTAAAGAACCTTCCAGTTTTCGACCCTCATCGTCTGAAATGTGTGACATGTTAGAGAAAGCAAACCTCGAAAACCGTGGCTTCCAAAAAGAGGTTGTCAGAAAGTCGTTTCAGAAGCCTGGAAGAACAAGATCGGATTTTGAGGTAAGAATCATACATAGAGAATAAACAGTAGTTTATTCATCTATTTGTTTTTTATTTAATACTTTATAATCATCGTGTAACAAAACCATTTTACTAACACTATTAAGCATTATACTAACAATCTCTATATCTCTTTGTGCCATAAGGCTTTGACATTCTCTTTCCATCCACTTTGTTTTGTTGCTAAAGTTCTAACAGTCATCCATGATTGCCACCCAGCTATTCGTCTTTCGTCTTCAATCATTCTCATCCATGTTGTTTTTGGTCGACCACGTCTCCTTCTCCCTTCTGGCCTCCATTCTAATGCTGTAACACAGTGTTTCTCTCTGTTATTCATCTGTTCTCTCAGAGAACAGAGGAAGAACAGAGAGGAACACTGCGTTACAGCATTAAAATGGAGGCCAGAACAGAGGAAAAACATTATACTAACAATACTAACACTTATACCTAGTTGTATCTAACTATGACAATATTAGCACTATTCATGACCTGTACTAACAATATTTCATGGCTTACATAGATAATGATAATACTAACAATACTTACAAAACTAAGGTATCAGTTTTTTTACTAATGAGGAGGGAAGAAAGGATTTGGGAGGGGGGGGGAGGAGTCACATGGCTTTCAAGGGGAACGGAGGGGAGATCAGTCGTCTCTGACAGATTATGAAGGGGGACTGTAAAAAATGACTACCTTTGAAAGAGGATTGTTAGAATCCTACAGAGCCTGAACAATACATTCAAACATGCTTTGTTTTCTTTTCCAGACGGTGTATAATTATGAAAAAGTAGTGAACTGCTCTGTGGGTGCCATTGAAAAAATGGGAGTGGAATTGAACACTTCCTTGCCAGGTACTGATCTTTATAAGAGAGATCGAGTCTGCAGTGAAATAATTCTTCCACCTCACCACCCGGGCGGGCAGTACCCAGGGAGTTTGTATTTTAAACTGATTAGTTGGTTCAAATTCCCGTCCCCCCCTGGGAAAAATTTCGTTCAAATGCCCCACCCAAGCGCAATGTTTTGTTGAATGTTTCTTTGTGTGATCAACGAATTTTGAAGAATCTAGCGAAAGTATCCACTTGTTTATGAAACAGCTGATTTTTTTGCTTGTTAGCATTATAGTCTAAAATGTAAAAACATTCTTCTGAGCCATTTTCTCACGAAAGCGGACGCTTTTCCTTTAAATTAAAACTACCTTACTTGAAATTAAAACTAGCGTATTCCACTGGTTTAAATTTCCCAACCTTCTTTTGGAAC